TGGATTTTAAAACACCCATACAGGTTTTCATTGACTGTTTTCCAAACTCTCGACTAGTGACAAACATTCCCTTAAAAATTTTTGGAAGTGTGGCCTTTGTTCATAWCCATRATCCTAAAYGTTCAARACTTGATCCAAAAGCACATAAATGTATTTTTGTAGGCTATCCCACTAATCAGAGAGGGTACAAATGCTTTGATCCAGTTTTGAAAATGATGTTTGTGACTATGTATGTCACATTCTTTGAAGGAACCCCGTACTACAGCAACTCCCATCTTTAGGGGGAGAGCAACACTAGTGAAGATGGTTTTTTAGATGGTTCTGATTTAATGTTTGAATTTGTCCATAATGATGTTCCTCACAACCAGTCACCAAAAGAAAGCGAGGCAGAAAATACAAAATTAGTGGAAACAAATGAATTAAATATTGAAAATGAACAACCTTTGGTGATGCCATCTCAAAATGAAAAAGCTGAAACAACAGAGATGCTTGCGAAACAGTATAAAGGCCTTGCATATTCAAGGGAATATCTAGCACAGAAAAGGAGAGGCACTATTCCACAGCATCAACAAGAATCTAATCTAAGGTTGGATCGTGAAACTCATGATAATTCTCCAAAAATCCCTGAAAATATTCCTCCAGGTAATTCTAATTCTTCCAGTCAGCTTGATCTTCCCATTGCTCTCAAGAAGGGTGTTAGGTATTGCACAAAACATCCTCTGTCAAATTTTATATCTTACAAAAATATTTCACCTTCATATTGTACCTTTATTTCACAACTATCTAGTGTATCCATTCCTAACAGTATCCAAGAGGCTCTAAATGTTCCTGAGTGGAAAGAAGCTGTTTTTGAGGAGATGAGAGCTTTGGAAAAGAATGCTACTTGGGAGAAAGTGGACCTGCCGGATGGAAAGACAGTTGTGGTTGTAAATGGGTGTTCACTCTGAAGTACAACTCAGATGGATCCTTGGAGAGAGATACAAGGCTCGCCTAGTAGCGAAAGGCTTTACTTAGACATATGGAGTAGACTACTCTGAGACCTTTTCTCCAGTGGCAAAGCTAAATACAGTTCGAGTACTCTTATCTGTTGCAGCTAATCTTGATTGGCCACTGAATCAGCTGGATGTGAAGAATGCCTTTTTGAATGGAGACTTGGAAGAAGAAGTATATATGGAGCCTCCACCTGGTTTCACTGAGAAGTTTGGAACTAATGTATGCAAGATAAAAAAATCTCTATATGGACTTAAACAGTCTCCCAGAGCCTGGTTTGAAAGATTCACAAGGTTCGTCAAAATTCAAGGATATAGTCAAGGACAATCTGATCATACTCTTTTCACAAAAAGATCCACCAAAGACAAGGTTTCGGTTCTGATTGTCTATGTTGATGACATACTCTTGACTGGAGATGATATTGAAGAGATGAGCAGACTAAAGCAGAGCCTAGCCAAGGAATTCAAGATTAAAGACTTAGGCCAGCTAAGGTACTTTCTTGGAATGGAAGTGGCAAGATCAAAGAAGAGCATTGTGGTTTCGCAATGAAAATATATTCTAGATCTCTTAAAAGAAACTGGAATGAGTGGATGCAAACCTTCAGACACTCCGATAGAAGTTAA